TGCAATGGGTCCAGGCTGTGGCACAAGAGATCCTGTGCCTTGGGTCATAAACCAGGCGGACCTTATGGTATTAGAGTTTCCATACTGGGATGGGAAAAGAGGCCCACTGGGCCCTGTGAAATCTATGCTTTAGTAGAAGAACCTGGGGTTTTGGAGAAAAGTCAGCTATCTGAAGAGGAGAACTAGTATCTTTTGAAAAAAAGTTCCTGGTGTGCTACTGAACTCTTGTAGAGATAGAGAGCCTGGCCATGAGAAATCAAATGATATTTGTAGCCAGAATTTTGCAGACTTTGCTCCCCATGATCTGGGTTCAATCAAACCTACCAAATCATAATGCCAGGTGGGCCCAGTGGTAATTGAGGCAGTGCATTGGGATTGGGTACAGCAGTGCCAAAGGGCATTGCACAGTAAACCGTATGAGCAGATGGCTCAGACCCCTATGTCATCCATACTGCATGCCACTTGCTCACTTCATACCCATGGCTGCCTGGGAGTCACTCGTGACAAGCTGATGGAGGAAGAAAAAGGCTGAGCATGGTTCACAGACGGTTCAGCTCAGCATGTGGATACAAATGAAAAACAGATACCAATTGCTCTACAGGTCAACTCAGGGATGGCCTTGAAAAGGAGAAGTGAGGGGAAATCCTCTCAATGGATAGAGTTTGAGCAGTTTTCTCAAACTAGTCATTGACTTGTATACACAGAGAGGTGGCCTGAGGTTAAAATATATATGGACTCATAGATGGTGTTGAATGGTCTGCATCATTGGGCAGGGGCCTGGAAAAACAAAGGTAAAAAAATCTGGGAGAAAGGGGTTCTGGGAGAGAGGCATGTGGATGAACCTATGAAGCAGGGCAGAGTATGTAAAGATGTGGTGCTAATCCCATCAGGGAATCTGGACATAAAGAATGACTAAGGTAACAAGATGACTCAGCCAGTTGGCATCAGCCAGCTTCTGTTATTTGTCACCACAGTTCTGGGACAGTGAGAATATGAATGAAGTCATTATGGTAGCAGGAGTTTAGATGACACATGACCCTGTAGCTGAATGTCCAACCTGCCAGTAACATAGCACCTTGTTGATCCCCGGCTATGGCATCATCCATCCATCCGGGAGACTAACCAGCCATTTGGTGGAAAGTACATGTTTGATTACATTGCATCTATTCTACTCTGAAAAGGGCAATGACTCACCTCAACTGGAGTAGACACACTTTCCAGGTATTTCTGTCTCCAGTACCTTAGACAGCACCATTATCTGAGAGCTTACAGAGTGTTCACTGGCACGAGTTGCCATATAACATCACTACAGACTAGAAGACACACTACAGGAAATGAGGTGCAGCACTGATCCTATCCTACTATCTACCTGTGTTATCCACAGGCTTCCAGGCTGATAGAGTAATGGAATGGCCTGCTGAAGGCACAGTTAAGGCACCAGTTTGGAAAGAATATCCTACAAGGAAGAAATATTATCATCTAGGATTCAATATAGACCCTAAAGCAAATAATAAGTGATGCTGTATTCCCAATAGGTAAAATTCATGGATCCAGGTCAAAGGTGGAAGTAAAAGTTGCCCTACTTACTGTTACTCCTAGTGACCCGCTTTGGGGGATTTGTGCACCTCAGGGCTGTATGGATTTAGAAATCCTGTTTCCCTGAGGAAGAATGCTTACCCCTTGGTTCCTAGAGGGAGTCTCATTAATCCTCAGCGGTAGCTGCAATCTATATCTTTAGACTTGCAGGCCAAGAAACTAACAGGCAAAGAGAGGAAGAGGTCACCATCCAGGTCAGGGTAATGGGGCCTGGTCAACAGAAGTGGGTGGAGCTGCTTTTACTCAATGCGGGTAGATAAGAATATGTTTGGCACCTGGGTGACCCTTATGGGTGCATCTTGACCCATTTTAATGGCAAATGGACAACAGTAGCAGCCATATCCTTGTCCTAAGAGGAGTACGAAGACCGGGGCTGAACCTCTCAGGGATGACGGCTGGGGTGAATCCTGAAGGCAAGCCACTTAGGCCAGCAGAGGCACAGGCTGAGGTTGAGGAAAATCTAGAATGAGTGTTCTAGGAGTGGAGTGATAAGCATCATTTATAACCTAAAGACCAGTTGCAGCTGTTGGGGGTGGCTACTGTTCATGCCACCAACCTTCTTGCAAGTTTCCTAAAGAAATGAGGCTCAACAGATTTCTGGATGAGTTTTCCAGAACTTTGTGTATAAGCAAGTGGATCTGAATGGCACAAGGGGTAGGTCATGGTGGAGATCATAGTGTGCTGCCCAAGTTTTTCCCTCCCAGGTCTAAAGTGCTTCTTCCCCAGCTGCTAGAAGTGTTGGCAGCCAATGCCTTTCAGCTGAATTTCCTCTCTGAGGCCTGCCCTCAGCTAAAAACAGCTGCGTTGCCCAGAGTTGTGTCCTCTTCCAGGAGCACCCTGCAGCCAGGACTGGTTCAGATAGGGGTATAAAAGCCTGGCCCTTGACCTTATTTGTGCTATCCCAGTTCTAAAGTTCCCTGTGGGATTGCTAAGACCTGGGCTGCGATTACATCACAATATCAATTCTCCCTCTCATTAGTTCAGCTTCCCCGTATTCTCAGTGAACTCTGCATGAACATCTTCATCTAAGAGTATGCTTTCCAGAGAAATCAGTTGGTGACAGCCCTGATTCCTGGTTAAGATCTGAGTGCCATCAGAAAACTTAAACACATCCAATATTTTGTGCCCACAGTTTTATACTCAAGGCCCTGTTGACGCTATTCCCAATTGGAAGGGAATTTGGTTCAGGATTCCTTAAGATAGGAATAGGGGATATGAGCAAATTCTGTTCAGTCGTTCACAAACAGAGGGCACCTCTTCCCTCTACTCCCCTTCTTGATCTCCTCATCAAGATTGACCTGAAACCTGAGGGTCTGTGATCCCAGTGAGCTATTCTGTGGCCATCCCATGCCTCCTGGACATGCTGACCTCTGGAAGTACATCTTGACTGAGGTTTAGGGCTGAAGTCCGCTAGGCTATAGGAGAGGCAGAGAGGTAGTTTGTACTCAGAGTGAGGGCCAGTGATTGCTCTGAGTGGGAGCCCTTCTGTAGTGGATACAAAAAGCTCTCTGATGGTTCTGGGGATCTGTGCTTCTTCTCGAGGGCCTCATAGAGAAATCTTCCAGAAATAGAGTCAGTGTGCCAGTTAGCCTGGCCCCTGTCTGACTTGGGCTTATGAGTGTAGAACCCTCTGACAACATTCCTTCCCTCCATGGGTGGAGCTAGTGATGCTTTCCAAGAAGTAGTGCTCTCAGAATAGGAGATCTTGGTGGGTCATTGGTCAGATCCCTTAAAAGATATTAATATATCCCTATTATGGATGGGGTAACTAAAGCCAAAAGTAACACAGTGACAGAGACCAGTTCTCTGTCCGGGATGAAACTGAAGTCATCTGCCTCCTAGATCAGTGCCCTTCCTAATATCTCACTCTGTTCTTCATATTGCCGTGTGCCATTGCCACCACACAGTCCAAGGGGGACGGCCTTATGAATGGTGCCCCGGGAGCTTTGCATGCAGTGGCCCTGCTGGGCATGCATGACACAGTAGACCATTGGCCCTTCAGATCAATGACCTTAGACCATGCAGAGTTACACCAGCAGGGCCCCTGTGACCCTTTTCTACTCTTGGGGACATAGTTGGTCTCTGCATTCAGGTACATGTGTAATGTAACCAATGGAAATGCAAGCTGATTGTGTATGCTGAAGGGGAATCCTGATTTAAGTTGCTTATACAGGAAGATGAGGGCCTGTCCATTTGACTGGAAGTTCTCAAGCTGGTGAAGTTAAGGTGTGAGTAAACAGTGAGAGAGAGAAGTTAATTTTCTGGGTGTAAGAAGCTAACCTTTAATTGCAACTTTGGCATTTAGAAAGTTTCCATGTCACTGGTTCTACTTCTTCATCTACAAAATTTGGCATTCCACCCTGCCTCAGCCATTCTTGCAATTATCTTCTCCCTTCCCATCTACCAATGCCCCTGTTCCATACCCTCCATACATTGCATTAGTGAGCTAAGTGCTTCTCTTTTCTCCTCCCAATTCAGCCCATGGCCACCTGGTTGCCCTTCCTGAATCCCCTCATAGTGCGGTCATGGCACTTCTCTCCACTGAATCAAAACTTGCAATGCCTTCTATTCCTGGAGTGACCACATGCTCCAGTTTGCTTAGGACAGCGTTAATTTATATCTGTTGTTCCAGAATACTTATGAATAATACCAGTTTTCTGCTCTCAAAGCATCCTAACTTGACTGGGAAGAATCATATGTTCACCTTACATGAAGCACAAACTCCCCACCCAGACAGCCTGGCCTCAAACTTCTTTCCAAATTTCCCCACCATTTCACACATACTCCAACACTGACACCTTTTGATGGGCCCCCACCCAACTGGGTAAATGCACCATGATCATTCCTACTTCTTGGATTTTGCTCAACAACACCTCTTCTCCTCTACCTAGATTGAAATACCTCCAGCAAGGCCTGTTCACTTTGCACATGCACCAAGGCCTACTTTAAGCTCCACTACACTTGTAAAGCCTGCTTCCCTAAACCTCTGGTAAAGGGTCATCTAGCCTTCCTCTGATTTCCTAATGTCTGTCATGTCTGCCTAGTCTGGGTTGGAAGACCGACGAGCAGGGTCAGGTAGAGGGAGATACCACAGGGCTGTTAAAATAGGTCCCAGGAGAGGCAAGCATGGGGTGGGGAGAAAAGGAATGGTGGCAAAGCTCCTGATATTTTCATGGCTGATGTGTTGGGGTCTGGGAAATACTGTTGAAAATGGGAATAGAAGGCTGAAATGGGTTTGTCAGTTTCACCCTGCATTTCAATGAAGACCAGCTAAGCCAAAAAGTCATTTCCCAGGGACACAGTTCCCACCCCCATAACCAAGCCCCTCCCGGCCACAATCACCTTTGTCCCCCTCAGCTCAATGTGGATTTCCCGCAAAAAAATTACATCTAGTGACTACAATAAAATATGCACATACTTTATGTATTCCTAAAACAACATTTACTTCCATTTAATGAGTGACACTTTGGGTTCACAAGAACAACGACATTTTTATACTAATCATCTTTGCCAGGACCTTTACAAGATTCCAGGGAGGAGGAGAGGAGAGGGGGAACATTGCCCGCTTGTGGCAGGGGATCGAACTGGGGGTTCCATGGGGTAAAGAATCTGCACAAAAGCTTTACAGTTTAAAAATAACTGATATTCATGGAGGATACGTTTTAAAGCCTCAATAAATTAAATGCAATAGGTTTTTAAAAATATATATATATTAAATAAAACCCATGCCCTTTGGACTGATAATGAGGTTACCTCAGAATGCATTGTAAGAAGGGAAAACAAATGAGGCAACACTCAGCCTCCGGTTTGGTTTCAAAAACAGTGATTATTTATGGCTTTGGAGTTGGAGATTTTCGGTCCAGATACTTCATGGAATCCTGCACCCACTTTTTCTTGGGGTCGGCACAGATATCCTTGGCCAGTTTGGTCTTGAAGCTGTGGGAGACAGAGGACGCAATTGGAAGGATTGTTTTTGAAAATTCTGCCCATTTGACCCTAAATATTTAAGGACCATTTGCCACTCGATAAAGGGTTGCCATGGAGAGGAGGAAGGATGAGACTCCTGGGTTAGTTGCTGCTCTTGAAGGTCCAGTAAAACCATCTTTGCTCTTAACTTGAAGAAATTGATATGACCACAGCAAGCTCCCAGGCAGGGAGCTGGGAGTGGACATTCACTTTGAAAATTAATGAATAGGACCAGAGGTCAAACTATCAGAGTCTATGACTCCCAGCAACGGTGACACAGTTCTTGACTCTGTGCCCTAGACATTAATTTTTTGTCTAAGGGAGGGTGAGCTTTATTTACTTACATCACAGCTTTCTGGGGACATTTGCCACTGATGATCCTTCTGTAACTCTCCAGTCGCTGAAGGGGTATCTTCTTATTGGTCAGGGTAAAGCAGCAGGTGGTTGCAACAGAAGCTGAATTTTGGGGAAAAAAATGAACAGAGAAAAAAATGAACCACATGATGATACATATACATTTCCAAGCATGACTTTGTAAAGGAAGTTAGGAGAAAGCTAGAAATTGCAAGAGGTGGAGGGAGAATCCCTCTGCTCTGAAGTCCTATGCATCTGGTGGATGCTGTCCTGTGTCTTCAAGCATCCTCCCCTGTGCATTAAGGACTCATCATTACTGTTGAGGGGAAGGAAAAAGCTTGGTCAGTGTGACAAATGCTAGCTCTGTCATTATAAAGACCTACTTGGCCATGTGATGGTCATGGTAATTTTCACCAAATATTCTCCATTCTTAGTTTTGAGACACAAGGTAGATTCACATTTCTTGACCACTTTTGTTTGTTGGAGGCATTAATTCGTTTTGATCAATAAGGGAGGAGACAAAGTGATGGGTGTCATTTTTGAGCCACAGTGCATCGCCTATGCAAGACTCCTGAGAGCTTCCTTTTTCTTTATCACAGTATCCATCAATGTTCCCTGTTGTGGGCAACTTCTCCATCAGTCTAGAATCCTGAGTATAAAATGCAGAAGCCTGAGCCCATACATTATAGATATTTAGTAGAAGTGAGAAGGTAACTTTTGTTAATTTAGTTAATTCTGTTAAGTCATTGATAATTTAGAACTGTTTGTTACTATGCCATGCACTGGCTCAGGGGGACTGACACACTCAGTAAATTTGTCACCAGAGTATGGGAAAATGAGTTATGGAACAAATCTCCTAGATAACTTTCCCAAACAGTGTCAAAATAAGTCACCTCAAGAGATCCCCCTGGGACCTCGTTCTTCTCTTAGGCACTGGCTCTGAAAGCTGTCCTGGAGTCGAATTAACATATTGAGCTTCTAATCAACAGATTTTCCTTCTCCCCCACTGCCAAAAATGCCCACCATGTCCACAGTAAGAAAGAGCCATTCTTTAGAGTGCCCCATTCCCAAACACTGTAAGGATAGCTGGATATGGATGCACCCAGCATCCCTCTTGAATGTGGGGAACAGCCTTGGGAGCCTGGGCTTCTAGTTCTGGCTCTTCCAGTGACTGGATGTGAGGATGAGCCATTTCTTGTCCACCCACAAAACCCATTTCCCTATTTTTCAGATGGAGAATTTGCAGTGAGTCTCTAAAGATTCTCACTGACCTGGTAGCTCTAGAGGTGGTTACCTTTCCTATAAGGAGTTGGGGGGCTTACCTGGCCCAGTGAGCCCCTGGGGGCTGAAGGCAGCTGCTACGAGCAGCAGCCACAGAAGTGTTGCGGAGACCTTCATGTTGGAGGCCGAAGGTGTGAGATTCGGCGTGAGAAGTGGTGGTTTCTGGGTTGGTCTCAGCCTCTCTGCTCCTCTGGCTCATCTGCCTGCCTTTTATAGGGAGCAGACTGTGAGGGAGCTTCCAGGGAAGTCTTTGCCTATGCAGGGTCATGATGAAGGAGTTTCTGGATTGCTGACCAAATTCCAGATCCTAGGAGGTCACCAGAACAGAAGAGAGGCAAGCTAGTGGGAGGGACTTGGTACATTTTTTAATCCATCTGGATCTTGCTGTTGGAAAGGAGGGGAATATGTGATTATGAAATGAAGTTACACATCTGTATTGAGTGAAGGGAGCAAGAAAACCAAGGGCCGGGGGGATAAGTTGAAATTAAACACCTGTAGTGGTGGAAAGGAGCAAGCAAACCAAGGACCTGGGGGTTGATCTAAGAACCTTCTTTGATTCCTGTGTTCACATGGTCTTGAGGATTTTGGAGACCAGTAAGGAGCCCCCAAAACTTCCACTAGGCTCCCACCCAGATGCAGAGAGAGCTCAGTAGCCCTGCACATGGTTGCATCTCTGAACCAGGAAGGACAACACACCACAGCTTAGATGCTGTGTTTTAGTGGAGTGATCATAGAATCTTAGTGCCCTGCAATTTTAGCTTGACAGGACATCAGAACTGGATAGTTTCTATTAATCTTGACTTCTGGGGCACTTTTAAACCATTTGCTTAGCTGCTGAAGCCCTTTTCCAAATGGAATTAAAACAAACCCCAACTCATCAAATACACTGTAGTGAAGGGGATTTGTCTGACACAGAATAGGCAGCCTCCTGTGCCCTTATTTCCCGGGGAACATATTTAGGGAACACATTTGGAAAATCAATTATCTAGTTTCCCCCTTACTCTCTGAGCACACATTGCAGACAAGGTATCTGATGGCTAAAAATATCAAAAATTGAGGGGACACAAGAACCCATACCTATCCCTTTGTTCATAACACTAGGCACCCTAGTTGGAGAGGGTGTAAGGGAGGCATAGTCTTTAATGGAGCCACTGCAGTGGATTACAGCATTGAATACCGATGTGGAGGTACTGCAAACCTGTTTCCTGTTTTTTTCCTGCACACTCTCATATCAAAATGATTGATTGGTACAGGAGAACAAACAAGAATGTTAAAGATTCTGAGGAGTTGCCTTGCGTTAGTTAAATGCTGTGTTGTGGTTGACTGGTGATGTCTGTCATGGGCACAGGATGACAGAGGGCTCTTGCTGTTCCACAAAGTCTCTAAGTGCCCATCCGGCATAATGGGTCTATAATTACCTAAAAACGTAATTACCAAATAGAGGCCAAAAACGTTGAGTCTTCCTTGTTCTTTCTTGCTCTATTCCAGATGGGTTAGTCTAATGTAGAGTCTGAATCCAAGATGTCTGCATTTGGATGACGACTCTGTGACTGACTAGCTGTGATACCATGGACAACTTACTTAATCAGTCTCTGCTAGGGTAAGAGCAGGATACTAATCATGTGTACTTTAAGGAATTGTAGTGTGAATTAAATGAGTTCATGAATCTAAAGTGCTTAGAAGAATGATTAGATCACTATAGATATTCAGTGAGTAGAAGTTACTATTTTTTATTATTAGGAAATAGGCCTGGGTACAGTGGATCACACTTGTAATTCCAGCACTTTGGCAGACTGAGGCGGGCAGATCACTTGAGGTCAGGAGTTCAAGACCAGCCTGGCCAACATGGTGAAAACCTGTCTCTACTAAAAATACAAAAAATTACCTGGGCATGGTGGAAGGTGCCTGTAGTCTCAGCTACTCAGGAAGCTGAGGCACGAGAATTGCTTGAACACAGGAGATGAAGGTTGCAGTGGGCAGAGATCATGCTACTGCACTCCAACCTGGGCAACAGAGTGAGACTCCATCTCAAAATAAAATAAAAATAAAATAAAATAAAATAAAATAAAATAAAAATAAAGAAGGGCAGATTGGGAATGCTGGAAAGACCTCAGAGTCTGGATATTTCTCCAAATATTCTTCCAAGTTTTCCCACTGCTTCCAAGTAAAAGCAGGCTACCCCAGAGATGGTTTCCAAGAATGCCTGAGTTGCACATGTGGCAGATACGAGGTTTTTAAAAATGTGTCAACAGAATAAATTTGGAGTATTCTTGACCTCAGAGGAGTTTGTCTGACGTGGTTCAATGATTGTTTCTGTAGTAAGAATGATTTCATAACTCTGATGGGAATTTAAAGGACTTTATCAGCAATCGATTATTCATTTTTGTGTTTTCCTCAAAAAATGGCTTTGGAGTTAATGGGCTTTGGATTTACTCTGAACCTGAAAAACCTCAGTGGCTCAGTGGAAATAAATAAAATCAATCTTTAGACATCCAAGCTGTGCAGCTGTTTCATCCAGCTCACTGACCATCTCTAGCAAGGAGGGGCAGCTTCAAGGGCTTTTTCTCTTCCTTTCTTGGAGGCTTCCTTTTCAGCAAGGACCTAGAGTAGATCCATTTCTTGCCTGTAATTTGGTGCCTGATGAATGAGGGGCCTTGATCAGGAGTGATCCTGAGTGATGGGCAGGAAATGGATCCCCCTTGTGAAAACAAAATCTTGACTTCTAAAGAGTTTTTCTTTTTTTTTTTTTTATTGGAAAAGGTATCTTTTATTTTTATTATTCTACTTTAAGTTCTGGGATACATGTGCAGAACGTGCAGGTTTGTTACATAAGTATACATGTGCCATGGTGGTTTGCTGCACCCATCAACTCGTCATCTACATTAGGTATTTGTCCTAATGCTATCCCTCCCCTTGCCTGCCATGCACCGACAGGCCCTGGTGTTTGATGTTCCCCTCCCTGTGTACATGTGTTCTGATTGTTCAACTCCCACTTACGAGTGAGAGCATGCGGAGTTTGGTTTTCTGTTCCTGTGTTAGTTTGCTGAGAGTGATGGTTTTGCAGCTTCATCCATGTCCCTGCAAAGGACATGAACTCAGTCTTTTGTATAGCTGCATAGTACTCCATGGTGTATATGTGCCACATTTTCTTTATCCAGTCTGTTATTGATGGGCATTTGGGTTGAAGGCTTTGCTATTGCAAATAGTGCTGCAATAAACATATGTGTGCATGTTTCTTTATAGTAGAATGATTTATAATCCTTTGGTATATACCCGGTAATGGGATTGCTGGGTCAAATGGTATTTCTGGTTTTAGATCCTTGAGGAATTGCCACACTGTCTTCCACAATGGTTGAACTAATTTACACTCCCACCAACAGTGTAAAAGTGTTCCTATTTTTCCACATCCTCTCCAGCATCTGTTGTTTCCTGACTTTTTAAAGATCGCCATTCTAACTGGCGTGAGATGGTATCTCATTGTGGTTTTGATTTGCATTTTTGTAATGATCAGTGATGATGAGTGTTTTTTCATATGTTTGTTGGTCACATAAATGTCTTCTTTTGAGAAGTGTCTGTTCATATCCTTTGCCCAATTTTTGATGGGGTTGTTTGTTTTTTCTTGTAAATTTTTTTAAGTTCCTTGTAGATTCTGGATATTGGCCCTTTGTTGGGTCGATAGATTGCAAAAATTTTCTCCCATTCTGTAGGTTGCCTTTTCTCTCTGATGATACTTTCTTTTGCTGTGCAGAAGCTCTTTAGTTTAATTAGATCCCACTAGTCAATTTAGGCTTTTGTTGCCATTGCTTTTGGTGTTTTAGTCATGAAGACTTTGCCCATGCCTATATATTGAATGTTATTGCCTAGGTTTTCTTCTAGGGTTTTTATGGTTTTATGTCTTACCTTTAAGTCTTTAATCCATCTTGAGTTAATTTTTGTCTAAGGTGTAAGGAAGGGGTCCAGTTTCAGTTTTCTGTATATTGCTAGCCAGTTTTCCCAACACTATTTATTAAACAGGGAGCCCTTTCCCCATTGCTTGTTTTTGTCAGATTTGTCAAAGATCAGATGGTTGTAGATTTGTGGTGTTATTTCTGAGGCCTCTCTTCTGTTCCATTGGTCTATATATCTGTTTTGGTACCAGTACCATGCTGTTTTTGTTACTGTAGCCTTGTAGTATAGTTTGAAGTCAGCATGATGCCTCCAGCTTTCATCTTTTCGCTTAGGATTGTCTTGCCTATATGGACTCTTTTTTGGTTTCATATGAAATTTAGAGTAGTTTTTTCTAATTCTGTGAAGAAAGTCAGTGGTAGCTTGATGGGAATAGCACTGAATCTGTAAATTACTTTGGGCTGTATAGCCATTTTTGCAATATTAATTCTCCCTATCCATGAGCATGGAATGTGTTCCCATTTGTGTCCTCTCTTATTTCCTTGAGCAGTGGTTTGTAGTTCTCTTCTCCTTGAATGGGTCCTTCACATCTCTTGTTGTAAGTTGTATTCCTAGGTATTTTATTCTCTTTGTAGCAATTGTGAATGGGAGTTCACTCATGATTTGACTCTCTGTTTGCCTATTATTGGTGTATAGGAATGCTTGTGACTTTTGCACATTGATGTTGTATCCTGAGACTTTGCTGAAGTTGCTTATGAGCTTAAGGAGTTTTTGGGCTGAGACAATGGGGTTTTCTAAATATACAATCATGTCAACTGCAAACAGAGACGATTTGACTTCCTCTCTTCCTATTTGAATACCTTTATTTCTCTCTCTTGCTTGATTGCCCTTACCAGAACTTCCAATACAATGTTGAATAGGAGTGGTGAGAGAGAACATCCTTGTCTTGTGCTGGTTTTCAAAGGGAATGCTTCCAGCTTTTGCCTATTCAGTATGATATTGGCTGTGAGTTTGTCATAAATAGCTCTTATAAGTTTGAGATATGTTCCATCAATACCTAGTTTAATGAGTGTTTTTAACATAAAGGGTGTTGAATTTTATTGAAGGCCTTTTCTGCATCTATTGAGATAATCATGTGGTTTTTGTCATTGGTTCTGTTTATGTGATGTATTATGTTTATTAATTTGCATATGTTGAAACAGACTTGCATCCCAGGGAGGAAGTTGACTCAATTGTGGTGGATAACCTTTTTGAAGTGCTGCTGGATTCGGTTTGCCAGTATTTTATTGAGGATTTTCGCATCAATGTTCATCAGGAATATTGGCCTGAAATTTTCTTTTTCTGTTGTGTCTCTGCCAGGTTTTGGTATCAGGATGATGCTGGTCTCATAAAATGAGTTAGGGTGGAGTCCCTCTTTTTCTATTGTTTGGAATAGTTTCGGAAAGAATGGTACCTGCTCCTCTTTGTATCTCTGGTAGATTTCAGCTGTGAATTCGTCTGGTCCTGGCCTTTTTTTTGTTGGTAGGCTATTAATTACTGCCTCCATTTCAGAACTTGCTATTGGTCTATTCAGGGATTTGACTTCTTCCTGGTTTAGTCTTGGGAGGGTATATGTATCTAGGAATTTATCCATTTCTTTTAGGTTTTCTAGTTTATTTGTGTAAAGGTGCTTATAGTATTCTCTGATGGTAGTTTGTATTTCTGTGGGATGAGTGGTGATCTCCCCTTTATCATTTCTTGTTG